TGTGTGTGTATGTGTATATCCCCGTACATAGAGACACTGTATATCCCCGTACATAGAGACACTGTAGTGCCTCATCCTGACCGACCGATTGTAACGGCAGGATGTGTAGTGATTTGTCTACGGCCCGTTGAGGCCAGGACAATAATAAAATGTTGTCAGTCAGTCAGTCAGTGTTTAAGGGTCCCCTCACGGTCGTGGATCTCAACATCCGGAGGCATGTAAAATCCTGGCTCAACTTCCCTCAGCGAGCGAGCGCGGAGAGAGTCTACATGCTCCCTCGCTGGAGAGGATGTGTGGACTCCTACCACTCTCCGACTTCGCCGACGTCCTCACGGTAGCCCATGTGTACTGTATGTTAACGGTGCGCGATGATGCCGTCAAGGAGCTGGCGTGAGAATCGCTGAGGGGAGTGGTTGGGCGCAGGATCGGCCACATCCCTAATTGCGAGAATATCGCCTCCTTCCTATCCGGCTCGCTGGATGGAAGGATGAGGGACGTAGGGGAGGCTTCGCTCTGGTCGAGTGCGCGGCGCTCAGACAGTCTGAGAGGTTGTCCCTGCGCTGGTGATGGGTTGCGTCCACGGAGGAGATGACGTTGGAATGTCGGGGGGGTGCCCAGGGGGACAGCGATTAAGATTCCGCCTGGAGCGCGCGGCCAGGTAGTGAATCGGTTGCGCTCAGCTGTAGCAGAGCACTACGCGAGCAGGTTGCTCGCGAAACTAGACCAAGGCAAGGTCTTCGAGGTGTCGTCGCAGAGTCGAGTGAGTAATCACTTTATCCGCGGCGGCAGCTTTACTCGCTTCGCCGATTGGCGCTTTATCCATAAGGCCCATTTAGATGTGCTATCTCTCAACGGCGCGCGGCGTTGAGAGGCAAATAATGATAAGCGCTGTCGGCGATGCGGTGAGGTATCGGAGACATTGCTCCATGTGCTCTGTCATTGCGGTATTCATTCCGCCGCAATACAGCTAAGGCACGATGCTGTCCTGCATCGCCTTTGGCTACACGTCTTCCAGGGGTATTGCGGGTTAACCAGCGGATGGAGGGCGTCAGCGACGAATTGGAGGCACTACGACCTGATCTCGTGGCCAGGCACGAGCCCTCCAAAAGTGTCGTCATATGCGACGTCACGGTGCCATTTGAGAACCGCTGGGTAGCCTTCGAGGACGCCAGAGCGAGGAAAATAGCCAAATACCACTGGCAGAGGAGCTCCAGCGACAGGGGTATCGTGTCGTCGTGACGGCCTTCATCGTCGGCGCTTTTGGCTCGTGGCATTCAAGGAATGAGGCGGTGTTGAGACTGCTGCGGATTGGCTCCCAATATGCAGCGATGATGCGTCGCCTCATTGTTTCGGATACCATACGCTGGTCACGGGACATTTATGTCGGGTATGTATCCGGCATCCGCCAGTACCTGGCTCCTCCCCGTCCCTCTGGCGATCGTCTTGCGGCACCGCCACGTGCGGTTCATCGACGCTGGGACGCCGAGGAGATATGTATACAGAATGTGGCGCGTCGCGATTCGTTGAGTATGAATGTCGCGTAATTTATTTTGTGGTTGTCTTGGCCCCCCCCCCCATTTTAAACATAGATAGAGAGAGTGGCCCCATGTCCAACTTTATTTATTTTTGCTTACCACGAACGCATAAAATTTACAGTAAGATTATGGCGATGAATTTGGAATTAATTTTTTGGATGTAAAACTTTTGTACGACAAGGGCAGGATTATTTTTGACTTGTATACAAAGTCTACTCTAACTCGGGAAGATACCTAAATTTTTTCTCTAATCACTCTACCATACATAAAAGGGGAGTGATAATTACGTTATTTGACAAAATTATGTTCCTATCCCATCCAAGATTCCATCACACTAACATCGAATCCTTAATCAACACCCTCCTCCGCACAGGGTATCCTCTACAATTTATATTTAAGACCATAAAAAATAGAATAAAAACTCTTTCCAGAAAAAATAATTTTAATACTACAAGTGAACAGAACATTAACTCTAACAGTAACTCTTCGGTAATAAAAAAATATTTCACGATTCCTTATTTAAATAATACTTCAAAGAAATTCAACATACCACTTAAAAAATTTCAATTTGAATTTGTATATAAACCGATGAATAATTTAAATAGATTTATAAAAACTGGAAAAGATAAAATTGTAGTGATAGTAGTGCCATAACGTTGGCAGCACTGGCGCAACGCAGCGACGACATCCGTGTCCGTGCGTGCTCGCAGTACCTCGCGCGAACGTACAGAGGAATGATCTCTCCTTTGTTTCACTTTGCTGTAACTTTCTTACTTACTAATAAACCTTAGCAGTTAACTCATTCGTCACTGTACTCTAGCTAATCTTGCCAAAATCCAACAAAGGTTATAGGCCCAGGTACCGTATCTACTACGCGGATAGTGACGTGAGTGAATAGTATAAGAAAAGGGATCGCACAGAACGTTGTCGGTAGCCATTGTTTCCTTGTTCGTTTTCTGTGAAACGAAACGTGGTTTGCGCATACAATGTTCTTGATTCGTATCGAAAGTTTTGACAATTTCCACAAGTGAGTGTTCCTCGAAACTCGTGAAGAATAAGTGTTTCGTAGAACGAGAATTGAAAGAGAACTTTCGAGAAGATTGAACGAAGATTGAACGAAGATTGAAAGAGAACCTTCGAGAAGATCGAACGAAGATTGAAAGAGAACCTTCGAGAAGATTGAACGAAGATTGAAAGAGAACTTTCGAGAAGATTGAAAGAGAACTTTCGAGAA